CAGTACTGTGTTAGGGATAAAAGGGAGGACTCCCCTGTAGCACCGCTGTTCAGACTGCCCCTGGGTGTTCAGAATTCTGACCAGAAGTAAAGGTTTGGCCTTGCCCAGACAGTCTGCTGTGTCTGCCTGCTGTCTTAATGACACTGCGGTTCATTTCAAACAACATGATGCCACCCCAATGATGTAGCGTGAACCATGGTAAAGATGAAAGCTGGAGGTAATATCACACTCTCAAGGTAAGGGGTGGAAAGGTATTTTTTAGTCTCTTGTCCATCCAGCCGACCTAGTGCCTACAAAGTGCAAGATGAAGCTCTAGTCTCACCTCACTGCTACCAGAGTCTCAACTGGTCACTCCTTTCCACCCCTCACCTCCCTGCACCGGAACCCTCACGCTATATCAAAATTCTACACTGAACATCTTCACAGGGGACAGAAACCTCGTCCCTCCACAGGAAAGGACCACTCTCCAGTCATCCCTGCAGTGAACATGGACATGAGGCTTAGGCTCCTGCCTGACTCTGACCAGGACGAGGTGACACAGAGAGGCTGGGACTGTGAAGAGCACATTTTGATAAAGATGGCCAAGTGGCAGTGGTGACCATCCACTTGCCAGCAGCAACAGTGACAGCACTTCTCACTGCAGGGCCCAATGTCCGGCATCAGGTTGTCAGAGGTATGAGCAGTGGCATCTGTCCCTAGAAGCAGGGGCAGGGGCTCCTCCAGGGGTCTGACCTAGGGTGGACTGTGCATTTAGTGCCTGGCTGCGTAGCCACAAGCCTGGCTTCCTGGCCTTCTTGCCAATAAAATTAGCCCCAGTAGCATATATACGACTGTAGGTGTAAACCAGAAAAATTTGGCTTCTGTTGCTTGCTCCAAGAACTGAGTGAGAAATCAGTGTGGGGAACAGTGTCAGAGAGCAGCATTCAGAGATTGTTTTTAATGCAGAGCTGAGAGCCAATTCTGGAATCTTCTACTTGGCCCTACCCTCACAAGAGAACAATGCAAATCTCCCAACAATCATGTTTAATAATAATGACATATGTTCTCCCTTTTCTTCCTGAGGGAAAAGAGGACATTTAAGTATGTGTAAGACCCACCCTGGGCACTCTCTGGTCACTGGCCTCAGCTCCAGTCTGGCTGGGCACCGGGCTTGCTGGTGGTGCTTGGACAACATTCAGGCCTCTCCCAGAGCCACCACTCAGAGCATGATGTGCAAGAGCAAGGACTGGCGTGTTTACCAAGCCCTGCAGGGGCCTGAGCGCACATGTGTGGATCCTGCTCTGTGCTCTGATTGGAGATGGGTGACCTGAAGACCAGCAGCATCAGCTCCGCCTTGTCACGAACTCGGGATACTCCTGACTTCCTGAGTCTCAGCGCCACATCCAGGGGACTCCGGCACATGGTACAGTCTGGGACTCCCTGGTCTTGGCGCCTTTGGGACGTGGTGTGGGACTGCGCAGTCTGCTCTGGGCGTGTGGTCGGATCAGATCCTCAGCACTGGAGGCCCAGGGCTCAGTCCTTGTTCCCTTCTTCTTCTGTAGCCAGTCACTCCCTTGGTGACCTCATCCATGCTCAAGGCTTTATTTATTTAATTTTTTGAGACAGACTCTCACTCTGTTGCCTGGGCTAGAGTGCCGTGGCGTCAGCCTAGCTCACAGCAACCTCCAACTCCTGAGCTCAACCAAACCTCCTGCCTCAGCCTCTGGAGTAGCTGGGACTACAGGCATGCGCCACCATGCCGGGCTAATTTTTTCTATATATATTTTTAGTTGGCCAATTAATTAATCTTCCTTTTTTTTTTTAGTAAAGACAGGGGTCTCACTCCTGCTCAGGCTGGTTTCCAACTCATGACCTTGAGCAATCCGCCTGCTTCAGCCTCCCAGAGTGCTGGGAATACAGGCCTGAGTGGCCCAGTCCCCCTTCAAGTCTTTAAATATCAATTACACCATGTAAATAATATGTCCCCAAATTTGGTACACCCCCAAATCTACTCCTCCAGCTCAGACATTTCTCCTAATGTCCAGACTTGTCGTCCAGCTGCCACCCCGTCCATCCCCTGCACCCCTAGTGGCTCCTCCTGCACTGAAAGCCCCCGACGCCCCTTCCTCAAACCCGCCCCTCCACAGTCGTCCCATCTCCACGATGGCAGCTCTGTCCTTCCGCTCGCACAGCCGACACCGCGGGTCCTCCCCGGCTCCTCCGGCTCCTCCTCTCACACCGCAGATGCATCAGGAGACGCTGTGAAGTCACCTTCATCCTGCACCCAGAGCCCAGCTCGTCCCTCCATCCCCACTGCTCCGCCGCCACCTGCAGCCGGACCCCGCGCTCCTCCCGCGTCCCCGTCCTCGCCCTCCCGCCTCTCGGCTCTGCTCTCAGCGCGGCAGCCACAGGCCCTTAGAAAGGGAGGCTGTGCCACGTCCTGTTCTGCTCTCAGCTGTCCTCTAAGTCCCCAACACACTCGGAGCAAAGGTCAGACCCTTCCCACACCCTCAGGCCACCTGCTCCAGCCCCCTCTGACCTCCCCTCAGCGGCTCCAGGTGCAGCCTCCCTGCCTCCTCGCTCCGCCCACAGCGCGGACGCCTCCTGCCCCAGTGCGCCTGCGCGCAAGCGCCCCCTGCCTGGGAAGATCTTCCCTGGGGTCCTGGCAGATCCTTTCAGATCTTTCCTCAGAGCAGGGACCCTCCCTGTTTGCCTCCTTCGCAACAAGGGCCACGGCGACCCCTCCAGTGCCACAGCCACCGTCCCCATCCCCACACCCCGCACTCTGGGTCTCCTTCCCCACAGCGCTGACCACCTTCCACAAACCCTTCCTTGTTTGCTCTGCTCCTAGAACAGTCTGTCTCTTCCCACTGAACACACGCTGCACATGGCCAGGAATGTTTCCGTTTTTACTCTAACGTTCCTCAAGTGCAGGACCAGCCTGTCATGAATCTGGCAGACAAAGGACAGTTGAATGAACGATCACTATAGAGCACCCAAGTAGTCTAGACACAGGATCTTTACTCATGTAGCCTCAGGGCAAGTTCCCGTTTTTGTGGAAGACACAGCACAGTGTCCTGTCACACTGACATCAATGCCACCTGGGCTTTCCTCACCTGTGCTGTTCTATCGTCCCTACCCCTTCCCGGCCTAGCACACAGCCTTCCTGCACCCTGCAGCACACAGAGATAGTTCTCCCCTAAGAATAACCATCATCCTTGCCTATGGGTCCAATTTCCACACTAATGTAAATCTAACTTAGAGCCTACTTTATAAATCCATCAGTTTGCATTTCAGCCAGTGACAGGATTACTAGAACTACGGGCAGAGATGGCGATAAATTAGAAGCAGACAGAAACCAAACAGGAATTTATCTAAGATAAGAAATGGTGGGATCGGTCCTCTACGCTAATTCCAGAATCGGGTTCCTTTAAAAAAGTTGAGTGCAGGCCGGGCCCAGTGGCTTATGTCAGTAATCCTAGCACTCTGGGAGGCGGAGGTGGGCAGATCGCTGGAGGTCAGGAGTTTGAAACCAGCCTGAGATAGAGCGAGACCTGGTCTCTATTAAAAATAGAAAGAAATTAATTGGCCAACCAAAAATATATAAACAAAATTAGTCGGGCATGCTGTGGCATACCTGTAGTCCCAGCTACTTAGGAGGCTGAGGAAGGAGGATCACGTGAGCCCAGGAGTTTGAGGTTGCTGTGAGCGAGGTTGATGCCCTGGCACTCTAGCCCGGGCAACAGAGTGGGATTCTGCCTCCAAAAAAAAAGAAAGAAAAGAAAAGAAAAGAAAAGAAAAGAAAAGAAAAGAAAAGAAAAGAAAAGAAAAGAAAAGAAAAGGAAAAGAAAGGAAAAGAAAAGAAAAGGGTTATTTGCAGCAACACGGATAGAGCTGGAGGACTCTACATCAAGAGAAAAAACCAGGCACAGACAGACAGATATCGCCTGTCTGTCTCACATGTGGGAGCTAAAAGTCTGACCTCACAGAGGTAGTGAATAGAGTGGTGCTTACCGGAGTTTGCCATGGGTATTAAAATAATTTGATAGAAGGAATAAGATCTAGTGTTCAGTAGGACAATAGGGTGATTCTAGTTAGTAATAATTTACTGTATATTTCAAACTAACTAGAAGAGATTACCTTCCCAACACAAAGAAATGATAATGGTTTGAGGTGAGGGACAGTCTAATGACCCAGATTTGATCATTACACGTTGTATGCTTGTAATTAAGTATTACATATAACCCATACATATACACAATTATTATGTATCCATAAAAATTAAAAATAAAGGAATAAAAAGGTTGGGGAAAAGATGCAAAACAAAATCCAGGAAAGAGCCCCAGAAGGAGGGCAAGAGCCTGCCTGCTGGGTCTGAAAGTTCATCTTTTGACACCACAGAGACTCCCCTGTGAAGGGGCTGCCCTGGGGGTGTCTCAGCCTCTGTCATCACAGGTCCTGCTGCACAAGGTTCTCCTTGGACAAGGACAGGGGAGCAGACAGGATGACACAGCCAAGGAGTGACACATACAGCCCGTGAAGGACTGAGCACAGACAGGGCATAAGCCGTGTCGAAACCCAGCTCCTCTCAGCCTTCTCCTGACCCCACCTGCAGCAGACTCAGCACAGCAAATACAAGGGTTCTGGAAGGTTCTCAGGTCTTCCATTTATTTCCATTCTCACATTTTAGGAAACTTCTCCTTTAATTAACCAATCCATCTCTTACTGCAAGAATTTGAGAAAACAAATTTACTTTGAATCTTATTTTCAGTAGGGAAGTAGCTCAGTGCACCGTGACGATGAGCCAGGGATGGAGACGTCCCAGCCTTCCTTGCTGGACGAGGAATAATGACAGGGAACAGACACAGACCAGTGTGGGACCAGTGTGGAGCAGGGTGCAGGACACAGGGCAGGACTGGCCTCCCCACCCCCTCACACCATGCTGACAGGGTCGAAGAGTCATCAGGTGCCTTTGCACACAGAGAAGTCAGAGGTTCCTGATGCCACACAGGGGAGGCGGGAACAAGTCCTGCATCGCTCTGTCCCACACAGGCAGCTGTCTCACCCTGCAGAAAGCAATAATCAGGAACAAATTCAGGTCAGTCATGATAAGTGGTCACACTAGGAACAGCACGCCACAGTCAAAATGTCCCAATCACAGAATCCCCACAGCCCAGCTCTGTCCCTGCTGCCCCACTCCCTGCCTTCAGGTCCCCAGGCTCTCACCTTTACAAGCCGTGAGAGACACATCGGAGCCCTGGGCACTGTCGCTGCCTGGGGTAGAACAGAACAGGACCTGGTCAGAGCCCACAGGAGAGGTGGCTACAGGAGGATTATGGGGTGGGGAGCCCCCCCATGGGCTCCTGTCTACACTGTCCCAAAGGTTTCAGGGATAAGTCCCCATACTTACAGGCAGCCTGAGCGTAGCTCCTCCTTTTCTACCTGTGGGAAGAAAATGTCCTGTGAGAGGCCAGAGAGGAGGCACGGCCATGAGGTTCTAGATGATCCCCCTACTTTTTGACCACACAGAAGGTTTCAGAACTGTGACTGATGATCTAGGGCAAGATTAAGAAACACGAGGATAGGAGGAACTGGACTAACTGCCCTCCTGGAGGTCTGCCATAGCAGGGACCTGTCCCTATGACCTGTGACCCCTGGGGATTCAGGTGCTATTCCCACAATCATCAAGGTGATGGATTTGTTCTGCACATTCCATGTCCTTTCCAATAGAGCAAGTGTGAGTAAACAGGGCCCCTGAGTGAGGCAGGGCACACTTCTGCCTGGGCGGGAAACCCCCAGTGGGACAAGAAAGCACCAACGCCTCCCCATCCCTTCCTACCTGAGCTCTTCTTCCTCCACATCACAGCGGCGACCACAGCTCCAATGAGCACAGCTCCAAGGACAACCAGGCCAGCAACGATGCCCAGCATGGGGACGCTGGGCTGGGAAGGCGGCTCTGGGAAAGGACGGGAAGGTGAGGGGCCTGAGCCAGGCTCAGCCCTGACCCTGCTCAAGGGCTCCAGAAGGGCCCTGCTTTCCCTGAGAACAGATGGGACCCCCAGCCCCTCCTTACCCCATCTCAGGGTGAGGGGCTCCGGCAGACCCTCGTGCTGCACATGGCACGTGTATCTCTGCTCCTCTCCTGGAGGCACCACCACAGCTGCCCATTTCTGGAAGGTTCCATCCCCTGCAGGCCTGGTCTCCACAAGCTCCGTGTCCTGTGTCTGGTCCTGCCCATCCCGCTGCCAGGTGAGTGTGATCTCCGCAGGGTAGAAGCCCAGGGCCCAGCACCTCAGGGTGGCCTCACGCTCAGAGCTGGGGTGGTGGGTCACGTGTGTCCTTGGGGGTTCTGAGGGGAAGAGTCAGAAAATTCGGGCACTTTCCATCCCTCAGGGGACATCCAGCAGTGCTCATGTGACACGGAGAGAATGGGCAGGACAAACGGGGTGGGGAAGGGAGTGGGAAATCCAGACTCCAGCCTGGACCCAGGGGTCTGGGATAATCTCCTACTTCTTGGAAAGTTCTATTCTCTCAGGGGGAGAATGGGGTTTTCCAGTCCTGGCCTGAGTGGAGGTCAGCGGCTCAGAAGGGCGGGAATCCGACCCCAAACACAGAGTTCGAGGCAGAGAAGGAAAAGTCACGGGGAGAGAGAAAAGTCACGGCGCCCGCCGCTGGGGCAGGGTCAGAGGGGACCACTGATCGGTATTCCAGGGACTGTGTTCCCCTCCATTCCCTGGGGGACTAGTCCTTAATTGTCCCACAGGGAAGGGCGGGTCCTCAAAGTCTCTCCCTGGTGCAGGATCTGACACCAGGAGGCGTCTTCCTGCTCTGGACCAGAGGGAGGACGACATTCTAGCCTGGGTCCCGTTTTCCTCCCGTCCCTGTGGGAGCAGAGCGGGGACATCCACAGGAGATGCGGGAGGCGCCCCGCGGCCCCGCGTACCCGCGCGCAGCAGCGTGTCCTTCCCGTGCTCCAGGTGTCGGCGGAGCCAGTCCACGCACGTTCCCTCCAGGTAGGCCCTTTCGTGCTCCGCCACACCGGCCGCCTGGAACTTGCGCTTGGAGATCTGAGCCGCCGTGTCCGCCGCGGTCCAGGAGCGCAGGTCCTCGTTCAGGGCGAGGTAGTCGGCGCCGTCGTAGGCATACTGATGGTACCCGCGGAGGAGGCGACCGTCCAGCCCAATGTCGCAGCCAAACATCCACTGGATGGTGTGAAAGCCTGGCCCCGCCCCCGCCGTCAGCCACGCCCACTCAGCCCCGCCCCCACCCGCGGGAATTTTGGCCTAAACCGAAAATGAAACCGGGTGAAAGTCCCCGCGCGATGAAAGGTCTTGGCGGGTCCCAAGGCTTGGGTTGACTCTCCGACCTGCGGACTCGGGGCGACGCGGGGTACTCTGTGGGGTCAGGGAGGGGTCGTGATCTGTGACCGGAGCCCGGGGTCACTCACCGGCGTCGCTCTGGTTGTAGTAGCCGCGCAGGGTCCGCAGGTTCACTTGGTCAGTCTGCGCGTTTCCCTTGGCTCTGAGAGTCTGCTCGTCCCAATACTCCGGCCCCTCCCGCTCCGCCCACGGCGCCCGCGGCTCCATCCTCGGACTCGCCGCGTCGCTGTCGAACCGCACGAACTGTGTGTCGTCCACGTAGCCGACCTCGATGTAACGGGAATCCCTGCGGCCGGGCCGGAACACGGCGGTGGAGAAATACCTCAGGGAGTGGGAGCCTGGGGGCGGGGAGCGGCTGAGACCCCGACCCGCCTCCCGCGCCGCGCCCGCTCCTGCGCCCCCGCCCGGCCCGGCGGCGCCCTCGCTCCGCCCGCACACGCCGCCCCTCCGACCCGCACTCACCCGCCCGGGTCTCCGTCAGCGCCAGGGCGCCCCACAGCAGCAGGAGCGGGGTTCGGGGCGCGGGGATCGCCATCCTCGAGGTCTGGGGAGGCTCTGAATCCCGGTCGGTGGGTGGGGCCTTTATAACCGGGCACCGCGGCTTCGCTCATTGCGTCTCTGGAAACCACGCACCCAATAGGAGTGAGAGTTGGGTGCGCGTCAGCAGTATCCAGGAAGAAGGACCTATACGAGTTGCGACAGGCAGAAGTGAAACTCAGGGAGATGGGGAATCCCCAGGGCTGAGCTTCCCTGCCCTGGACAGTGACCTAGGGACTGACACCCTGAGAGCCACGCCCCGGGCCTGGTGACATTGCCCAGACCCCTCTTCTTCCTCACCAAGCGTTCTTTGTCATACTGTCTCCCTGAGTCCCGGCCCACTAGTTGTGAGGAAACCAGGGAGAGACCCCCAGGATGGGCCCAGCCCCTGACCACTTCCCGTCCCGGAACCCCTCTCCCTGACTGGACTCCCTACCTCCTACTCCTGTCCTCTCCCCATGGACTCTTCTAGAAGAAAACTCACCCCAGGGAACTTGATGCCAGAGTCAGCTTGCCCTGGGTCAGGAGGTGTAGAGATGAGGGTTTTCTCTTTAAACCTGGAGACCTTGTGTCTAAATGCACCACAGAGAGACTCACATAGAGACCAGTTTCTTTTGTGTTTATAGACTACGGTGGGCAGCACAAGCTTTGTAACCCCTAAATGATCAGGCATCTAAGGTGCGAAACAAATGAGTTGGGCCCCTCCATATATACATGTGTCTAAATGCATTACAGTTAGACCCACACCCTCAGGCCACCTGCTCCAGCCCCCTCTGACCTCCCCTCAGCAGCTCCAGGTGCAGCCTCCCTGCCTCCTCGCTCCGCCCACAGCGCGGGCGCCTCCTGCCCCAGTGCGCCTGCGCGCAAGCGCCCCCTGCCTGGGAAGATCTTCCCTGGCGTCCTGGCAGATCCTTTCAGATATTTCCTAAGAGCAGGGACAATCCCTGTTTGCCTTCTTTGCAACAAGGGCCACGCCGACCCCCCCAGTGCCACAGCCACCTTCCCCGTCCCCACACCCCGCACTCTGGTCTCCTTCCCCACAGCACTGACCATCTTGCACAAACCCTTCCTTGTTTGCTCTGCTCCTAGAACAGTCTGTCTCTTCCCACTGAACACACGCTGCACATGGCCAGGAATGTTTCCGTTTTTACTCTAACCACGTTCCTCACGTGCAGGACCAGCCTGTCATGAATCTGGCAGACAAAGGACAGTTGAACGAACGACCACTGTAGAGCACCCCAGTATTCCAGACACAGGATCTTTATTCATGTAGCCTGAGGGCAAGTGCCAGTTTAGTGGCAGACACGGCACAGTGTCCTGTCACACTGACATCAATTCCACCTGGGCTTTCCTCACCTGTGCTGTTCTATCCTCCCTACCCCTTCCCTGCCTCCCACACAACCTTCCTGCACGCTACAGCACACAGAGATAGTTCTCCCCTAAGAGTAACCATCATCCTTGACTATGGGTCCAATTTCCCACACAAATGTAAATCTAAGTTAGAGCCTACTTTATAAATCCATCAGTTTGCATTTCAGCCAGTGACAGGATTACTAGAACTAAGGGCAGAGATGGCGATAAATTAGAAGCAGACAGAAACCGAATAGGAATTTATCTAAGATAAGAAATGGTGGGATCCATCCTCTGCTACTTCCAGAATCGGGTTCCTTTAAAAAGTTAGGTTCAGGCCGGGCCCAGTGGGTCACGCCAGTAATCCTAGCACTCTGGGAGGCGGAGGTGGAGGTGGGCAGATCGCTGGAGGTCAGGAGTTTGACACCAGCCTGAGAAAGAGCGAGACCTGGTCTCTATTAAAAATAGAAAGAAATTAATTGGCCAACCAAAATTATATAAACAAAATTAGTCGGGCATGCTGTGGCATGCCTGTAGTCCCAGCTACTCAGGAGGGTCACTTGAGCCCAGGAATTTGAGGTTGCTGTGAGCTAGGCTGATGCCCTGGCACTCTAGCCTGGGCAACAGAGTGCGACTCTGCCTCAAAAAAAAAAAAAAAAAAAAACAGAAAAGAAAAGAAAAGAAAAGGGTTGTGTACAGCAACACAGATGGAACTGGAGGACTCTACATCAAGAGAAAAAACCAGGCACAGACAGACAGATATCGCCTGTCTGTCTCACATGTGGGAGCTAAAAGTCTGACCTCACAGAGGTAGTGAATAGAGTGGTGGTTACCAGAGTTTGCCATGGGTATTAAAATAATTTGATAGAAGGAATAAGATCTAGTGTTCAGTAGGACAATAGGGTGATTCTAGTTAGTAATAATTTACTGTATATTTCAAACTAACTAGAAGAGATTACCTTCCCAACACAAAGAAATGATAAAGGTTTGAGGTGAGGGACAGTCAATGACCCAGATTTGATCATTACACATTGTATGCTTGTAGTGAAATATCACATGTAACCCATAAATATTCACAATTATAATGTATCCATAAAAATTAAAAATAAAGGAATAAAAAGTTTGGGGAAAAGATGCAAAACAAAATCCAGGAAAGAGCCCCAGAAGGAGGACAAGAGCTTGCTGGGTCTGAAAGTTCATCTTTTTTTTTTTTTTTTTTTTTGAGACAGAGTCTCACTTTGTTGCCCAGGCTAGAGTGAGTGCCGTGGCGTCAGCCTAGCTCACAGCAACCTCAAACTCCTGGGCTCAAGCAATCCTGCTGCCTCAGCCTCCCGAGTAGCTGGGACTACAGGCATGCGCCACCATGCCCGGCTAATTTTTTGTATATATATTTTTAGTTGGTCAATTAATTTCTTTCTATTTTTGGTAGAGACGGGGTCTCGCTCAGGCTGGTTTCAAACTCCTGACCTTGAGCGATCCGCCCGCCTCGGCCTCCCAAAGTGCTAGGATTACAGGCGTGAGCCACCGCGCCCGGCCTTGAAAGTTCATCTTTTGAAACCACAGAGACTCCTGTGTGCAGGGGCTGCCCTGGGGGCGTCTCAGCCTCTGTCATCACAGGTCCTGCTGGACAAGGTTCTCCTGGGACAAGGACAAGAGAGCAGAGAGGATGACAGAGCCAAGGAGTGACACATACAGGCCGTGTTGGACTGAGCATTGAGTGGGCACAAGCCCTGTCCACACCCGACTCCTCACAGCCTTCTCCTGTCCCCACCTGCAGCAGACTAAGCACACAAACATAGGATTCTGGAAGGTTCTCAGGTGTTCCATTTATTTCCACTCTCAAATTTTAGGAAGCTTCCCCTTTAATTAACCCATCTACCTCTCATTGAAAGAATTTGAGAAAACATATTTATTTTTAATTCTTATTTTCTGTAGGGGAGTAGCTCAGTGCACTATTACGATGAGACAGGGATGGAGACGTCCCAGCCCTCCCTAGCTGGAACAGGAATAATGACAGGGACAGGACATGGACCAGTGTGGGGCAGGGTTCAGGATAGGGGGCTGGACTGGCCTCCTCACCCCATCACACGATGCTGACAGGGTCGCAGAGTCATCAGGTGCCTTTGCACACAGAGAAGTCAGAGGCTCCTGACGCCACACAGCGGAGGCGGGAACAAATCCTGCATCGCTCCGTCCAACACAGGCAGCTGTCTCATGCTGCAGAAAACAATAATAAGGAACAAATTCAGGTCAGTCATGAGTGGTCACACTAGGAACAGCACACCATAGTCAAAATGTCCTAATGACAGAATCCCCACAGCCAAGCTCTGTCCCCGCTGCCCCTCCCTTCAGGCCGCCAAGCTCTCACCATTACAAGCAGTGAGAGACACATCGGAGCCCTGGGCACTGTCGCTGCCTGGGGTAGAACAGAACAGGACCTGGTCAGAGCCCACAGGAGAGGTGGCTACAGGAGGATTATGGGGTGGGGAGCTCCCCCATGGGCTCCTGTCTACACTGTCCCAAAGGTTTCAGGGATAAGTCCCCATACTTACAGGCAGCCTGAGCGTAGCTCCTCCTTTTCTACCTGTGGGAAGAAAATGTCCTGTGAGAGGCCAGAGAGGAGGCACGGCCATGAGGTTCTAGATGATCCCCCTACTTTTTGACCACACAGAAGGTTTCAGAACTGTGACTGATGATCTAGGGCAAGATTAAGAAACACGAGGATAGGAGGAACTGGACTAACTGCCCTCCTGGAGGTCTGCCATAGCAGGGACCTGTCCCTATGACCTGTGACCCCTGGGGATTCAGGTGCTATTCCCACAATCATCAAGGTGATGGATTTGTTCTGCACATTCCATGTCCTTTCCAATAGAGCAAGTGTGAGCAAACAGGGCCCCTGAGTGAGGCAGGGCACACTTCTGCCTGGGCGTGAAACCCCCAGTGGGACAAGAAAGCACCAACGCCTCCCCCATCCCTTCCTACCTGAGCTCTTCTTCCTCCACATCACAGCAGCGACCACAGCTCCAATGAGCACAGCTCCAAGGACAACCAGGCCAGCAACGATGCCCACCATGGGGATGCTGGGCTGGGAAGGCGGCTCTGGGAAAGGACGGGAAGGTGAGGGGCCTGAGCCAGGCTCAGCCCTGACCCTGCTCAAGGGCTCCAGAAGGGCCCTGCTTTCCCTGAGAAGAGACGGGACCCCCAGCCCCTCCTTACCCCATCTCAGGGTGAGGGGCTCCAGCAGACCCTGGTGCTGCACATGGTACGTGTATCTCTGCTCCTCTCCTGGAGGCACCACCACAGCTGCCCATTTCTGGAAAGTTCCGTCCCCTGCAGGCCTGGTCTCCACAAACTCTGTGTCCTGTGTCTGGTCCTGCCCATCCTGCTGCCAGGTCAGTGTGATCTCCGCAGGGTAGAAGCCCAGGGCCCAGCACCTCAGGGTGGCCTCACGCTCAAAGATGGGGTGGTGGGTCACGTGTGTCCTTGGGGGTTCTGGGGAAAGAGCCATAAAATTGGGGCACTTTGCATCCCTCAGGGGACACTCCAGCAGTGCTCATGTGACACGGAGAGAATGGGCAGCACAAACAAGGTGGGGGAAGGGAGTGGGAAATCCAGATACCAGCCTGGACCCAGGGGTCTGGGATAATCTCCTACTCCTTGGAAAGTTCTAGTCTCTCAGGGGGAGAACGGGGACTTCAGGACCTGGGTTGACTGGAGGGCAGCGGCCCAGAAGGGCGGGAATCCGACCCCAAACACAGAGTGTGAGGCAGAGAACACGGTCTGAGAGGAAAAGTCAGGGCGCCCGCTGCTGGGGCAGGGTCAGAGGGGACCCCTGATCCGTATTCCAGGGACTGTCTTCCTCTGCATTCCCTGGGAGACTAGTCCTTAATTGTCCCAGAGGGAAGGGCAGGTCCTCAGAGTGACTCCCTGGTGCAGGATCTGACACTAGGAGGCGTCTTCCTGCTCTGGACCAGAGGGAGGGCGACATTCTAGCCTCAGTCCCATTTTCCTCCCGTCCCTGTGGGAGCAGAGCGGGGACATCCACAGAGGATGCGGGAGGCTCCAGCGGCCCCGCGTACCCGCGCGCAGCAGCGTGTCCTTCCCGTGCTCCAGGTATCTGCGGAGCCAGTACACGCACTCTCCTTCCATGTAGGCCCTGCTGTGCTTTGCGTCACCGGCCGTCTCGAACTTCGGCTTGGAGATCTGAGCCGCCGTGTCCGCCGCGGTCCAGGAGCGCAGGTCCTCATTCTGGGCGAGGTAGTCGGCGTGGTCGTAGGCGAACTGCCGGTACCCGCAGAGGAGGCGACCGTCGGGCCCCACGTGGCAGCCGTACATCCACTGGAAGGTGTGAGAGCCTGGCCCCGCCCCCGCCATCAGCCACGCCCACTCAGTCACGCCCCCTGCGGCGGGGACTTTGGCCTAAACCGAAAATGAAACGCGGTGAAAGTCCCCACGTGATCGAAGGTCTTGCCAAGTCCCATAACCAAAGGGTGACTCTCAGGTCCGGGGCCTCGGGGCGAGGAGGGGTACTCTGTGGGGACAGGGAGGGGTCGTGACCTGTGACCTGATCCCGGAGTCACTCACCGCCGTCGCTCTGGTTGTAGTAGCCGCGAAGGTTCCGCAGGCTCACTCGGTCAGTCTGCGCGTTGCCCTTGGCGACCCGCGTCTCCTGGTCCCAATACTCCGGCCCCTCCCGCTCCACCCACGGCGCCCGCGGCTCCACCCTCGGACTCGCCGCGTCGCTGTCGAACCGCACGAACTGCGTGCCGTCCACGTAGCCGACGGAGATGTACCGGGGCTCCCCGCGGCCGGGCCGGGACACGGCGGTG